GAAAAAGTTTAAGTTAAGGAAAAATTTAATGTACAACAAAACACATATAATGAAAACTTACATTGTAAATAATTTGCATAATTGTAAAGAAGGTTTGAGGAACGCGTCCTCTCTCCACGCGAGTCAGTTTAGAAGTGAGCATGAGGGGGGTTTTCAACCGGTTAAGCCGGCTGGGTGTACCTCACTTTAGTTCGTTTTGGAGTGGACAGGATGGTTGTCGAGGCACATAATTGGGGACTGGATGGTTACCGAGGCACACAACAATTGGTTTGAGTTGTTTTTCAAAAAAAAAAATTATGTGCATGTTAACTTGATTCTTTTCTCCCGGCAGGTAACCACAGTCTATTCGTTATAATCAAAATAAATATAGCAATGAAAAAAAATACAACAAAAAATCTAGATTTAAAAATTGTCATTTATTCTTAATTAGATAATTAAAAAAAACACCCCAAAATATATTTTTCACTCTAATTTGACCGATAAAACTATGTTAGTGGGATGGTTCTTAGCGATCGGCTCAATATTTTTAGTGAGACTTTTCTCTTTTTTGGATCCGCCACAGTACTGATTCTTTGTTCGACAAGATAGGAAGGCAATTAACAGTTCAGGGTACCTTAAAGCCTGTGAGAACCATTTTAAAGGTTCGATTCTCTGAATCTGAACCTCTGCTGTTTCACAAAAGGGTTCATAACCCATTGAGGGACTTCCAGGGATAACCTTCAAAACGGTTAGAAAAGTTCATGTGAAAAGACTCAAGGAGTTGGCTTTTGTATCATCAGAGGAAATTTCACCATTCATTTTAAGATCGATAGGATTGGAAATTCAGTCAACTCATTCCGACTAAAATTCCACAAAAAGTCTCAAATGATAAAAATAACTGATTCTGTAATGATCAAATTGAGCTAGTCGTCGTGAAGTTGCAAATTAACACTATCAAGTTTTGCAAATAAATCCGTTTTTCTCAACGTCTATCTTAGCAATTTGCCTCTCAGAGCTACACCTCAGTCTTCGAGGAACTCATACACAGCGTCAAAAATATTTTAAAACCTTTTGAGACATGCTTCTTTGGAATGTCAGCGTGCAAACGATTGAATCGTTTTTCTTACACAAATGTCTGAATAATCGATCGTTGAGAGCATTAATGCGAATTTTGTTCTCAGCATATTGCAAGACAGCTAGTCTATGAATCATGCAGCTTAAATATCTTTCAAAGGGCGATAAACCCATGATGTCGACCAAGAATTTTTGGCATAATATTCTCAAAAAGAATCTCTTTAAAATAGACAATATTAAAAATAGATTCACCTACAGTTCTTTTACAAAGCATCTCTTGAATACTTTTTCCTTCCTTAACACCAACAGTAAAGCCTCATTACTTGGCAAGGTTGACTCATGAACTTACTACGGAAAACTACGTTGGATATCAAAAGTTTGCATAAGGAAACGTCTTCAGGCATCTCGTCAATTCGTCATCACGCTGTATCATTGCTTAATGGGATATTTTTCATTACTTTGGAAGAGGCTGTAAAACTGTTTCTAAAACTTCCTTGACCGTAGTAAGTCTTCAGAAACTTGTCCTTGATTTTTGTGAAAAATGACTAATCTTCATTTTGTTTGTCAGGATGAATTTTTCAAAAAAGAAGGTTTCATAGCCTCATTAGATAAAACATTGTTACAAATTAAAGGTAGTTACATAGGTAGTTGAGAGTTCGACGGCGATTTAAAAAATCCGAACTTCGAGCACGTGACACTGTTTTGACGACACTTCTTGCTAGTCGACATTTTTGGAGGCAGCAAAATGCAAGCAATGAAAGAAAATCAACTATTTCACAAAATTAATAAATAATTTACGATAAAGAGCTAATTTGCTGACGTACCTGGCGAAATAAATATTGAAATCGAATCGATACTAAGGGGGGAAACTAAAAGGAAGCGAACGAAAACCATCATAAAAAACATGGTTCAAATCAAACATTCATACTGAAAGCGCATGCATTTCTATTTTCGCCAAATGACTTGAATGAGTCTGAGGGAAAAACAACTGACTCATGCGCTGCGCTGGTTCGAATTGGAGAATAAATGTCGCTTGAGTTCGCTGTATTGCTGGTACAAATGGTGAATCGGATAAATTTATAACATTAATTTAATATTTTTCTAATATTAATTTTATTAAATTTATCTTAATTTTATAATTTTACTTGGGAGTCTTAATATTAAATTTGAATGACAAAATATGCTCATCGTCCCCCTACAGCCCAAAACAAGTTCACCGCCCGTCGACATACTACTACCGCCCCGCAGGGGGGGCGGTATAACCCCCGTTGAGAAGCAATGCTCCAGGTGAAGGAAAGCATACTAAGACAGATTTTGGTCAATATAGTGGTTCCATTGTCGCAGTATTGGAGAAATGATTTTCTATATCTGATTCTTTCTTGAAAAAGAGTATATTCTAAAGAAAACGGTTAAAGGACCCGATTTCGTAATTATTTTCAGCGTACTTTGAAACGATCAGAGGAAGAAATGTTCTTAGCAGAATAATCATATTACAATAATAAGCGATTTAAAAGAAAACGGCTGAAGAGCCCGAATCCGTAATTATTTTCAGCATACTTTGATACAATCAGACGAAGAAATGTTCTTAGCAGAGTAATCGTATTACAATAATAAACTATTTAAAAGAAAACGGTTGAAGAGCCCGATTCCGTAATTATTTTCAGCATACTTTGAAACAATCAGAGAAAGAAATGTCCCCAATAGAGTAAGCACATTACAATAAACAATAATGAACAATTCTATAATTAGGCGTTTAGAATTTATCAAAAACTCGGAAAAGAGTGAATCCATAGAAATATTTATAAATGTAAATCAAAGTATAAATTCTTAATATGTCCATTAAAAATTTTATAATTAATTTATTTGAATAAAAAAACTTACACTGTGGAATCTTACTTATCCGAATTTGATGTTGAGAACTTATACATTATTTCAAGCTTGTACCGAATCTAGCACAAGTTAATAGCGTTAATAGCAAATAATATATATTTTAAAGGGTATAGTTGAATTTAATCTGCAATGTACGAGTATCAAAACTACTAATATTATAACCCTTTATGTCAATTGAAAAACAGACGACTACTATTCACACTGAAAATATTATGGTCAAAATTACCAGAATATGGTAAATTATAGTAAAAATAATTTTACTGATTCTTACGTGTATCATAACCTATTACTACTATAAACCTTTGTGTTACTGAATAATAGACGACCACGGAAAAAAAAAGTATGGTCAAATGTACCAGAAAAATGTATGTCTTTTCTGGCTTCAGGGGAACACCATAAAGCACGGTAATTTTTACCGCTTCTTAAATGATTTTGGTAAACAATAAAATATGGTTTTAAAATTTGATATAAAATTTGAAGAATGCTTTTATCGTGATAACTTAGAGCACGGTATAAAACCATTTAGTGGGTTAAATTTATTTCTCAGTTTTGTGATTTTTACTAAAATGTGTAGTAATAAGAACTATAATTTAGTAAACCTTTTTTATTAAATGAATGATTACTAAATGAATGTAATATTTAGAATATCATTTTATTGGGTACAGTACTATTTTGTCACCAGAAATGCCACGATAATTTTACTAACATATTTTCACCTTGGATAGTAAAAGAATTCTTTCCAGGAACTTCGTGTAATAGAACACGGTGTTTCAGCATTTTTCTTGCTCAGATATCAGAATTACGTACTGTGCGTACTAATTATTATTTTCCAAATATTTAAATAAGGAATTCACAAAATACTTTCTCTTGAATGTAAAATTAATTTATATTTACATGATAAACAAAATAGTTTTTGTAAAACTCTCTATAAATTAATTTCATAAAAATCTGATGTCTTTTCAACACCAAATTATATACAGTTTAATTGGTGCCACAATTCTTATAACTTTCAAATCAAACATTACATATTTTCGAAAACATTAATGTATGATCTTGATTGTTTAGATTTGAATCTTCAATGCATTTACTGATACAAACCGTAAAAGAAAAGTTTTCACTTATTTTTCAGTATTAAATCAGTATATGATGTACAATCAGCTTCGTTCGTCTTAATATTTCTTTTGTACTAAGAGAATTTACAAACAAATTTTATTTCAAGCGTCCTAAATTAATGACCGTAATTTTATTGTCTATAAATATTTGTGTTACTGAAAATGTTGTTCATGCGGAGTAATGTAGAGAACATTCTCGGCGTAGGTTCAGAGTGAAATCCACCATTTTTAGTGATACTAAAATCGTGTTCGTATATTAAACGATAAAATGTTTCTAAAAAATGCAAATTTGTAAAAAATCAATGTAATTTTTTTAGCGATTGATAGAACCATTGAAAACCTTGTAAAAAGAACTATTTTCCAAAAAAATTAATGTTAAAAATATATTAAAAATTAATAAAATGAATGCTAGTGATTTAGAACGACATCACATAACGAATTTATTTTGACCCATTAGATTAATCCTAAAAAAAAAAAAATTATAGTAGAAGTTTGAAAAACGAAATCAAATCTATACTGGCCAAATTGTTAGACTCCCAGTAAGATTCTATGTAGAATCATAATTATCTATACAGCTTTATTGTTTCTACGCGGCAAAAACCCGTTTGCACTTGCTCGGGTATCACTCGGTTAAACTAGACGATGCATTATATAAAAACAGAATATTTATTATATCAGGTATTTATTATTATATTATAATAATTAGACGCTCTGTAGTTTTTCTAATAATTAAATGTTCTGAACGAGTTTATATGCAATACTTTTATATTCAGCGATGCATGTAATGACTTTTTATTCGAGAGAATTTTTATATATTAACGTATTGCATTGCAATGTTAAGCAATAGATAGACGAACTTAAACTGGCTTGAGCTGTGTAAAATGAAGAAGAGTGTATTTTCAGGAAAAAAGAGGTGAAAAAATGATGTCAAATATTTTGTTTCAGGTGGAATGGAGCCGGTGAGTAAAGCGAGTCGCAGTTCAAAAATTCGTCGACAGAGAAGTCATGAATGGAAAGATTATGACAGTTCTTCCGATAATGATGAAGAAAAACAAACTTTCAGATATGAAGAATCAAATAATCAAGAAGGTAAATATATTTTGAATCACAATCTCTCGTATAAGAAAATTAGTATATGAACAAATATTCACATTCGAGTCTATAGTTAATTGAATTATTTAGCTCATTTTGAAAGTTAATTAAAAATTTTATGCATCAAAGTGATTCTAAAATATTTCCTTAACAATCATTCTGTAAAAGGAGAGTTTTACGATTTTTGTTTTATAATGATTTTGTGTTACTACTTTATACGATTCATTTATTCAAATAAATATCTTTGATCGTGTTGACATAAATTGAATTTTACAAACTAAACATTTTAACTGTGAAAATCACCAAATAAAAAAAAACAATAAGAATAATTAAGAATAAATAAGAAAAATAATAAATATGAATACTAAATAATAAATATGAATAATAAATGATAAATAAGAATAATAAATAACAAATAACAATAATAAATAAGAATAATTTATAAGAATAAATAAGAATAATAGATAATAAATAAGAATAATTTTCCTTTTTATAACCGTCATTGTACAGCCGACCCAATTTTTTGGGTATACGACTATTCATATTCAACTACATAACTTTGTAGTTTTGAACCCAATCCAGAAGACAAGGGAACTCCTGGATCTAGAAATAGGAGAAATTTGCCTTCGTGAAGGACTTTTTGAGGGAACTAACCCGCATTTGCGTTACATGGTGAGGAAACCCACAAAAAACCCCCACGGTTAGCCTAAGGGCAAGGGGATTCTAACCTATGATCCATCTACCACTGAGGATATTTTACGTCAATACTGTGGTCGGTGCAAGCCGGGTGCGGCCATTGCTGGGATTCGAACCTCATTGGAAGGTGAACGCTCTTTCCAGCTCATTCAAGTATTAGGGTAACAACAAGGAAAACATTTCAAATTCCTTACTAAAACTTTTAGCATCTGAGCACGTAAAATAAAACCCTTAAAAATCTTGCACAAATTTTATAAATAAAGCTCACTTTATTTTGCATTATTAATTTTTTTAATAAAATTTTTATCTTTTAATTTTCTTTTGAATATTAAATACACTAATTCAGACGTATATTTTTAAATAATATTTTTAAAAAACTTTATTTTTGGCCGTGCTAAATCCCGGTGAACATGTCATGCAATAGTCATTGTTGCTGGGGAAAAACAAGTAATTAGTTTTAACCTTAAAAAGTAACATAAATATTCATAGCAAAGTTTATTTTACTTATTGCTTGGTCACATAAATATTAATTTATAATTAGGTATCAAATTGTATTCAAAGAGTAAAATAATTTTTCCAGATAAAAATTTGTTATATTTATTCCATAATTTAAAATTTATTTTATTGCAATATATTTTAATTTTATTTTATTATTTTTATTAATTATTGTAAATTGAGTTAAACGTAGCTTTTATTTTACAGAAATAACAAATCAATTAAGGCAGGTTAGGGATAGGTCTTGAGAGACAGGTCAAGGGAACGAATCGTTAAAGGAACATCAAAACTGCTACAAAAAACATTGAAAACTCCCTAAGTAATCAATATTTCAAAGGAAAAAAAAATATTTTAAAGTAATAATTTTCCTCAATTTTTTATCGTACAAGAATAATTGAAATTAAATTTTCAATAATTAATTACTTGTGAAAATCAATCTAATTGAATGTATTAGTACACTGATCTAAGAAATCAAGAGCAGACAATTATCTCTAGAAGATTTTAATGAAATTCAACATGTACAATACAAAACAAGTAACACTCACATGCATGATTGTACGTAACACACGTTGGAGTAGGAGGGTATGAAACTGCAGAATAAGCAAAAAATGGGATTCATATTTGAAATAAGGCCTGTGTGTGGTGTACCGTATAGATTTGTTATTTAAGAATAAACCATCGCGTTGTGTTCCCTTCTTTCAACTAAACTAACTAGTGACCTCCGTTCCAGCATGGGATACCTTACTCTTATCTTTAGTTAAGTTAGTAAGGTGAACTGATCTTTTACTAATTTCCGGAATAAATTTTCTATAGTAATTAATGCAATCTAAGAAGGATTAGACATCAGTTTTATTTTTAGGAATTTTAAAGTTATTAATTACATCAGCATTTTTCTTTTCAGGATATACCTGTCCTTTATTAATAATAAAGCCTAAATATTTAATTGTATCAGTTAGGAAAGTACATTTAGATGGTTTTACCTTTAAGTTACTTTGGATTAATCTATCAAAAACATTCTGTAATTTAGGAAAATGGTTATCAATGGTATCACTGCAAATGATAATGTCATCAATTTACACCCCAACACTAAGTGGGTCTAGACCTGATAAAACCAAGGACATAAGTCTTTGAAATGAGCTTGCACTTGTTCTTAATCCAAAAGGAGTTCGAGTATATTGAAACAGTCCTTTGTGAGCTGTTACAGCCAATTTGTGCCTATCCTCCTCAACGACAATCTGCTGTAAAAACCCATTCATTAGATCTAAACTAGAATATACCCTCCCACTTGCCAGATTATCAATGGCTTCTGAAATGTTTGATATTGGGTATGTATCAGGGATCACTTTTGTATTCAAGCCTCTAAAATCTGTCACCAGTCTAAAATCCCCTGAAGCTTTTTTTAACTAACATAACTGGTGCAGCAAAGCTTGAAACTGAAGGTTCTAAAATTTTTGCCTCAATTAAAATGTTCAATTGTTTATCCATTTTATCCCGTAAGTGATAAGGAAACCTATATGATCTTTTTTTAACAGGTTTATCATCAATTAAATCAATTTTATGTTTAACTGCATCACAACCAGGTAGGTCAAGTACTGATGTTGCAAATACGGCTTTATTTTTTTCTAAAAATTCTAATAACTTCTTTTGATTTACTATATCTAAATGATCAATTTTTAAAGTTTCCTCCCAATTTAAGTCTGACTCTGGAAATTCCCTATATCACATTCTTCAAACTGATAAATTTCTTTAACTTGTTCTTGATTCAATACTGGTGAAATATCTACTATTTTAGTTAATTTATTCAAACTGATATCGCTATCTGTAGGATCAATAATTTTCACCAAAATTCTATCATTGTTATTATGAATAGATCTACCTACCACTTATGGTCGTTCTTCAGGGTTGTAAGCCTCAGTCAAACAAAGAGAGGTATTTAATCGATTCTTAATCTTGATTCTAACCATGCACTCGGAATATGCAGGCCAAACCTTCTTTTCGTTTACATAACCATAGGTATTAGTATTCAAATTCTCAACAACTGTAATAGAAAGGTTATTAGCATTCAAAAATTTAATTTTTTGATCATTCACTATCATACAATTCCCTTTAAAATTTAATATACAATTATTGGTTTGTAAAAATGGTTGACCTAGGATTATTTGAAATTTCTCTGAAATAGGAACTGGTGTTATATAAAAATTTGCTACATATTCATTATTGTTAATCATAAATTTTAACTTTACTTGCTCTTGAATGTTTATCAATTTGCTTGAAATTGTCCTAACTTTAATGTTACATTTAAATTTATTGCACCCCTCTGGAATATATTTCTCCTCAATCACATTTATAGATGCCCCTGTATCAATTAAAGCAATATTTTACTTATCCTCTAACATTACCTTTATTGTAGGCAAATTGCCTGACTCATTTATGAAAATCTCTTGCACTGTCATGGGGTCACTCTCCTGAGGTTGTGCCATCCTGGAGCCCCTTTTCAGTTTAAACCTTTATTTTCTAACTTAGCCCGACAATTTCTGGCTATGTGGTCCTCCATACTACACCTGTAGCATCTTATCTTTTTTTTTTATCTTTCTTAAAATTTTGGTAACTCATTTGTGATTTTTGTAACTGATCTACCTTTTCGGTTAATGATATAACCTGTGCTGTTAATTTGTCGCATATTTCAGCTAAATTATGGGTAGATTCCACTGCATATACTTCCTCCTGTCTCCGCATTTCTGCTTGTCCATTAAACGGTTAGGCAAAAGGATTCAAAGCACTGGCTGTCATTTTTATCGCATTTTCTTCCAACACAGCCACCCTTTTTAACTCCGCCACATCCTGCGGGCCTCTAGCTAACACCCCTCTCAAGATTTCTGGCTTAATGCTGCTTCTTAACATATTTAAAAGCATATGTTTGTGCTGAACCTCTGCCGCTTCCTTACCTACCTCCCCAAAATTTAATGCTTTACTCTTTAAGGTAGCTTGAGCTATGAAACGTTCCACCGGCATATTCAGTGGTTGCTTAAAATTTAAAGAATCAAAAAGGCTAACATTAAGTGAGGTATGTCTTATATAGTTTTTCCTTAATACTTTTACCATACTATCACATGTATTTGCTTCATCCCTACTTTCATTTAACAGCTATCTGGCCTCCCCATATAACCTGTCCCTTAACACAAATCTTTTGTCACTTTCTGACCACAAAAATTGGGATGCTGCATCTTCTATCCTTTCTAAAAATTCAGACAAAGCAATGCCCCCTTCCCCTCTAAAAGTTGGTAACAAGGAAATATGCATTACATTAAGTGTTTGTGGGACAAACACCCCAGCTACTGCCCCTTTATCTTTATCCATCGTAATGTACAATTAAAAATGCATAAGATAAATATATAATAAATTACATTAGTATAACACAAGTACTTGCACTAAATATATCAATTAAATCATAATCAACCCTAAATTTAAAATGCAAACAATTACCTGACTAATACCACTACTATAAACTTAAATAATTATCTTATTAGCATACAAATAAATAAATAAACAAGTAAGGTTAAGTCATGCTAGAGGTCACGGCACCATTTTGTACCGTATAGTATCGTTATTCCTTAAATTTTAAACATCGCGTTGTGTATTTCATTCCTAACCTAATTTAATTATTAATGATCCCCCAATTCTCCAGCATGGGATACCTTACCAGTTTATCTGTAAAGTAAAAAATAAACACCTCATGATACAACAAGAAAACAAATACAGTTTAAGATTAAATAAAAGGGTTTATTAAATTAATTCAAAAAAGGAAT